TAGTTGAATAAATTTGGCCTTTTTAAAATAATGATCATTTTTAATTTTGGAACATAGTTTTTAATCAATTTTTGATTGATTCAAGATATAAAACTTGTAACATTAGATTTACTTATATGAAAAACATAAAATCCAATCGACGTTTGAATTCAAAAAGGCTATAAATATAGAGAAAATCATATGAGAATATATTCCATGAACAAATAGAAAATAACATAAAATTAGTTTTTCTTTTAGATTTTTGATTTTCACCATGTTTAGAATGCTGCATTTGATTTGAATTACAATTGCATTCAATAATTTTCTTATAAGTGAATCTTCTGCGATAAATTTTAATTCTTAAAATTGTAAAAAAAAAATAAATAAAATAAAAGGACTAAATTGACATAAATTTAAAAGATAAAATACCATAATGAATATTTTAAAAGATAAATGACCAAAATAAATTTTAAAAAATAAAATAAAAGACCAAAGATATAATTTAGTCTATAAAATACTAATTATTTGTTTGAGTAAATCTATTATTATATGTTGGGAAAAAAACCCTTTGTTTGTGTACTATGATTAAATTAAAAAAATAGTGTAATACATAAATTTGATTCAATATATCTTTTATCTACGTTTATAGAAATATCTCAACAAACATTTATAAATTAAAATATGATTATAATTTTTCTTGACAAACTTGAGAAAACCCTCATGTAACCCTCCCTTCCTTTAGCAATGCTTTTCTCATCATAGAAACTATTTTTGTAGTGGTGGTGAATGATTATTTATAAATCTCAGTTAGTGAACTTTGATTGTATTTTTATCCACTTACCCTTTCATTATTGTAATGGAAAAAAACAATAACACAATAAGATGATGTATACGTTTACATTAAAAAAAAAGTGTTTAACTTCAAATGATTGTAAGACTTTTTATATTTTGATAAAAATATTTTAAAAAATGTAATAATTTAAAACACAATTTTAATTATTCAAGATAAAACATAAATGAAAAGAGAATACATAATTTTTATATGGGTTCGTTTCAATTCTTATACTACATCCAATTTTTAACATTACTAATAAGTTTAACTCTTCAAGTTACAAATATTCTTTAAACAAGTCTTTTCAAGCTTAATCTAAGTAGTATTTCACTTCTTTCTCTAAGAAATAATTCAAGTATTTTTTTTACTGCAAAGTCTTTTTGAACTTTAAATCTAAATAAATTTTTTGACTTAGAACCTCTTTAGATTTCAACCAAATTTTACTCAGAATTTGTTAAGGTGTGTAATAACATGACAAGTCACTATACTTTACAGCTTAACAACTAAACAATGGAAAACATAAATCCAAATATCTAGTATCAACATGCAACAATTTTTAGATATACATGCAAGAGTATATATATATATATATATATATATATATATAGAAATAGATAACTTAAATCATAAATAAAACCTCTTAGTAGTATTACATTAAAATCATGTACATCATAAATAAAGCCTCTTAGTAGTATTACATTAAAA